GCCCAATCTGATTTTATTTTTTTAATTTTGTTGTTAAAAAAATAAATATTCTTTCATTTTTGGATTCTTTTAATAGGAAGGGAGGGAGGAATGCTGGAAATCTAAAGAAGAGCCTCAAACACCTTTATTTCCAAGAATACTCTGGAACTCACATGGAAATAAAATAAAAATGGGGGACAGCTGCAGCCCATATGTAACCACCCTGAAAATGGATATGATTTGCTTATGGAGTGGCTGTGCAACATGCTTAATATGTGTGTGAAAATTGCACAAATGCTTAACGCTTGGAAGAATACCAATATTGTACTCCTAGACAAAGGGAAAGATAGCAAGAGTGAATGGAAGAACTACAGGGAGGTTAATTTGTTAGGTGTGCTGGGAAAAATGTTTGCACGATTTTTATCCAAAGAGTATAAGAGATGACAACAAGCAGCATTTCGGAAGCACATTGTGGCTTTATGCTGGTCAGAGGTTGTGCAGAACAGACTTCTGTTCTTCAGCTGTCATCGAGAAAAATATATTTATGAGAAAAAGAATATTGTACATTTGCTGATTTAGAGAATAAATTATGGAGTTTTTGCACAAATATGGAGTTAAAGGCTGGTTGCTGAATATGATATGAGTGGTATATGTTGAAAGTGAAGCATGCATGAGAATAAAAAGAAAGCTTAACAAATTATTCAAAACTGTCAGAGAGTAAGACAAGGATATATGATGTTCCCTTGGTTGCTTAAATGCATCAGTGTTTAAGGAATGCTTGTGGTAATGTTAGAGGTGTGTTAGTTGGAGACGTGAATGGATATGAACATTTGTATGCCAATAGTGATGTGTTGTTGACTGGGAAGCTGAGTGGAAATGTATGAATGCAATGGTTGCCTGGATAATTTGCAAGGATAGAAAGATTATGGAGAGGTATAGTGAATGGTATTAGTAGAAACTGGATTTACACATATTTCCCTTTCTTTTTGTTACCTTATACCTTGATTTCTTTGGCTTAGTAACTCTTTGCATAACACTGCTTACTCTGAAAGAGAAGAGTGTGATGGTCATGTATGTATCTGCCTAGCGAAAAGATAAGACAAAGAGCTTCTTCAGTGTTGGGAGATAGAAGGGATGTCAGGGAGCATCTCCTTAGTTTGCCTTCTGGTAAACAGGTTTTCTGTAACTGATGTTTCCCTTCCTTGTAGTTATTTTGGGAGAATGTCAATTTCCCTCGCCCAAAATGATTGAGGCCCCTGCAAGAATTTCCTTGGCCGTTCAGTACTACATAGCCATCTTTGAAATGGGGAAGGACTATGTTACCAGATCCATTCACAATAGTCTTGTATCGATTCATTGCTAATATTAGAACTTTATTCTCCCATTTACATAATATGAATGCTAGAAACCAGAGCTTCTTTATTTACACATGTTTAGCTGGTACAAAGATCAGAGATTAAGTCTTCTACAATCCCCTCACTTAAATACTTTTCTTCCTTCCAGATTTTGAAACCTATAAATTGATTTGCCATTTTTCCTTATGGCATTTCTGTTTTCAGGAATTTTTTCATCACTGGACATATGGGAAGATATCAAGTTATTATTTTACAGCCCAGTCTGACTGCAGTTCATTTATTAGGTATCTGTCTAGTGTTCCTGCACTACAGTCATAGATTAAAAATTGGATGTGTCATCCAAAAGACATGTAACAAACCAGTATTTTTTAGCAAGTTGTGTATATGAGCTTGTAAGATCTATGTCCTTGAAGGTTGCTAGTTCAATGAAAAGGCATATACACACAAGGCATAAATAGCTAGGTATTCAGAATTTAGTATTGCAAATAGTGGCTGGGCTTACTTTCAGCTTGATTCAGCCACAGATTACCCCTTTTTAAGTATAAATTTCAAAAAGTACAGATAGTCTTGGTTTAGCAATCACAATTGGGAGCAGCAACTCAGTTGTTAAGTGAAGTGGTTGCTCAGTGAAACCACGACTATGCTTGCGTTCTTACTTTAGTTTTCCTTTGCTTTACAGACCTACGAAGGTTGTAAATACGAGGACCAGTTGTAAAGTTACTTTTTCATCACTGTTGTAACTGCAAACAGTCACTAAACAAGGTAGTCGCTAAATGAGGACTACATGTAAAGCAATCAAAAGATTAAGAAAATAGCTGCATGAATACACTCCCCAACTATGCTTTTATTTTAATTCTTACCAGTCGTATGCAATTACAGTCTCTTTGGTCAAATTTGCAGTTCCAAGGTGTTCTTCAGATCTTAGAACTGCCTGTATATTAATGACTGAGCTTCTATTTCATGCTAACCTGTGGTTTATTTTAGTAGCCAAATAAGCTACTATACTGGCTTCACACAACATATTCAACCATAAACTATGGTTTACAAGTGATAGTGGCTGGGTTTAACATTTAAAGCCAAAACTATGTCATAGCTTAATGCAGTTTGTAGAGCTTTTTATTCATCTTTCTTTCCACCGCCATCCCTGTAAAGCTTTACAGAGTGGAAAAGAACAGAATATAATAGACGAAAGGTGAGAGCAGTGGAGACTGGGCTAAGCAGAGAAAATAATAGTTAAGTTGAATGGTTAGTTGAGTTGCAGGTGCTTAGGCTAGATAGCAGGCTTAGCTGCAGTAGGGCTTTAGAAGCTAGGTGGCTCAGTCAGTGTAAAGGCTGAAGGTGGCAAAAGTAGAAGCAAAGAGCTCAGGCCAGACAAGTCCATGATCAAAACACAGTACAGGCACCCTCTGCATTGAAGGCTGAGAAATAAGCCACAAGAGATCTGTTAGCATGTAAAGGTAGAAGAAATATAAATAAAATTCAGATTCTGGGGCTGTTACAAATAGTGGGATTGACTGCATGATTCTGTAATAGTTGATCTTTATCATTAGGGCTTGTGGTATCTGCAGTAAAGGCAACCTATCTATCTAAGCCCTGTCCTTGACTCCTCACTTCTAGCTCCTGAGTGTGAATTTGAGTTTCTAGAGAAAGATTTATTGCCAAGCTCTGGGTGATGCTCTGAAAAAGGGGGGGGGGTGAGGAGTGATTAGAAGGAAATGAAAAAGATGGTATCTCCAAAGTTATGGGAGGCAGTTCCAAACAGCAGTGGGAGAAAAGGCAGAAGTCTGTCTTGAGATAGCATATCAGGAGTTATACCTACAGATGCTTTCTGTACAGCATGCTTATTCTAGGCATTACCAAATCAATGGGTTATCTGCAAATCTTAAAAGAGAAATTTAATACGCCCTGCATCACATTCTCCCCAGGTGTGAGAGACTGTAGGATGCAGCAGAGGAGTTTGGTTGGTGTAAGAAGAGGCAGGTTAGCCTAGACGTGGAGACCGTGAGAAGGAAATGCTTCAAAGAGACCCCACCTTATTTATTTATTAAATTTATCTCCGCCCATCTCCCCCTAATGGGGGACTCTGGGCGGCTCACATGATCCATTAAAATAATAAATA